CTTTCTTTACATTGTTAACCCTGCCAATTGTATCACACTGCTAAGTTTAGTACCTTCTGTGAACTACAGGGTCCAGAAACCCGTTGATCTCCCCAAGTAGTGTGTTCTGGCAGAAAGGGCCAGGAAGACATAGCGGTGAGTCCCAGATGAGAAAAGTGAGGCTCAGAGAGGAATAATTGGCAGGGATGGGAACCCAGGTCTTCCGGCCCATCCTGTTAGGACACCATCTCCTAGGCCTCATATGTCTGAACTTCTCACAGTGCTGCGGTGCTCAGCACTCTCTGATCTGTTGGCAAGCTGACCCGTAGACTTGGCAGCCCTTTTCCCCCACTGATTCCAGGGAAAGTACCTGCATGCCTTCTGGGGGCTTCCCCCAGCACACGTGTGAAGTGTGGTGTGTGTGTGTGTGTGTGCATGTGTGTGTAGGAGACAGAGAAAGGGGATGTGTGTGCACAAGGGTCCATGTCAGCAGCACTCACAGGCTTCTGGCCAGCTCTGGAAAGGACATTTTTTGCCCCTCACAGTGTCCTCTTGCAGGTAGGATGCCTGGAGGGAGGGGAGCAGGTGGGGAAGGTCAGAGGAATGGCTTTTCCAATCTCACTCAGACCTAAAACTCATTCTGGCTTTGCCTTAGTGATGCAAGCTGCCTGAGCTGGCCAGGCACCAAGTGGGAGGGGGCAATGTGGGGTGGGGGCAAGGGTGGGGAGGAACGCCACAGCATAATCCTAGGAGAGAGAAGCAAGTGAGGGACTGACTTCAGCTCTTAGGTGTGTGCATTTGGACTTTACCTAATCTTCCTGAGTGTTTCGCAGTCTGTAAAATGGGGTAATAAGACTCAACTCAAGCGTTGTAGTACAAATAAAATAAACTGGGCAAAATGCATGACTCAGAGCCTGATAGTAGGATTTCAGCAAACGTTGATCCCATCTCTCCCCCTCCCTAGGTTGTGCCAGAATTCACCCTGTGCTTCGTACTTTAAATACTTTTTGGAACAGTCTTTACAATAAATAAGTAAACCAGCAAGACAATAAAATGCACACCTCCTTTTCTTTTTCCCCCTTTCTTCCTCACCTTTATTCCTTTTACTTTTCCAGCGGGTTCTGGAATGCTGTTTTACTTCCCTTTCTTCCCTCTTTCCCTCTCTTCTCTCCTCCCATCCTCCTTCCCTTCCTTCTTCTCTTCCTCCCTCCCTTCCTCTCTTCTTCCCTCCCCTCCTCTCTTCCTCTCCCGCTTCCTCCCTCCCTCCCTCCCTCTCTCCCTCCCTCCCTCTCTCCCTCCCTCCCTTC